AGTGGTGCGCGTCTTAAATAGCAACGTGGAGCGTCTCGTGACTTAGCTCCGCCTCGAAGATTTTGATAGCTTGGCCAAGCGCGTTGAAGAAAGAAGCAATATGATTTGGCTATTGGTAAGCTGATTCTAAACTGTGAGGGCATTGTCACATACACGTAGTCCTAATGAAGGTGATAGTGGAGTGCTTCGCCGGAACATTCACCTTGAAAATTCAAGATGCCGTAGCAGACTAGCAGGAATAACTTGGAGGTATGTTGCCCGCCCTCTGTGTCAAAACTTGCAAAGACTCTTTGTTTTTGTATTTTCACTTGAGATTGTCGCATTGACCTGTTTGCATGCGTGTATTATGTTGCATTAATTTAGCTCCGCTGTTTGGTTGTTCACAACAGCTATAGATTCCTATTTTTTGGATTTAGATTTGGTAAATTGAACTTAGCTCCTTGTGGCGGGTTCTAGAGGCCGTAGTTAGAAGTATCTGACCTTTATGATTATGTTTGTTATGTACCAGTCCGCTTTGGTGAAGAGGCACCATGAGGCTCAGAAAAAACAACTGACTGCTGTACGCAGTCAGCGACACTCATATTTATCATAGAGTTTTAATGGTTCCAGCGTGGTAAATATGCATTTTATGTATCGGTCTAACTAAGTATCATCAAATCGAATTGTAAATGATCCCGCTATGTTATTTAGGCCTTCTGAGCCGCGGTTTGTGTTCATAATTATTGCCACAGCGACGGCTATTTGCCGACATTTCTGTGTGTGATAAACATATTATGCTTTCTAGTTTTCACCTTTTGAACATGTAAGGTGCATATGTGTACTCTCAGTACTATATTATTTTATATTTTTACAGTTTTTACTGTGTTCACGGTGTAACGATTAATGTGATGCTTATAGGCGCTGAAATTGTTTACACTATATGACTGCCAGTATCGTTTGTAACGGACGCTCTGATTTGTCCTCCTTTTTACCGTTCGAAATGACCCTGAACAACAGTACATA